ACTAGTGTAGCTTATTAAAAGCGTAGCACTGAAAATGCTAAGATGAGAAGTAACATTTTCCGCAAGTACACCAGGTTTGGTCCTAGCCTCAGTATTAATTTGATTCAAACTTACACATGCAAGTTTCCGCACTCCAGTGCGATTGCCCTTACTTATCCCTTTAGAAATTAAGGAGCGGATATCAGGCTCGCCCCTGCAGCCCAAGACACCTTGCTCAGCCACGCCCCCACGGGACCTCAGCAGTGATTAATATTAGTAAATGAACGAAAGTTCGATCCAGTTATGGTTTTAAGGGCCGGTCAATCTCGTGCCAGCTACCGCGGTTATACGAGCGGCCCAAATTAATAAGATTAACGGCGTAAAGAGTGTATAAAGATGTAATCTTCCCCCTTTAAAGCTGAAATACTGCCCAACTGTTATACGTACTCGCACTAATAAAAAACAATTATGAAAATAGCTTTATATAAATAAGATATCTCGTATCACGATAGCTAAAAACCAAACTGGGATTAGATACCCCACTATGTTTAGCCTTAAACCTAGGTGTTTAAATTACCACAACACCCGCCAGAGAACTACGAGCGCCAGCTTAAAACCCAAAGGACTTGGCGGTGCCTTAGACCCCCCTAGAGGAGCCTGTTCTAGAACCGATAATCCCCGTTTAACCTCACCACCCCTTGCTATTACAGCCTATATACCGCCGTCGCCAGCTTGCCCTATGAAGGAAAAACAGCAAGCATAAAGAATTACCTCCAAAACGTCAGGTCGAGGTGTAGCATATGGGATGGGAAGAAATGAGCTACATTTTCTTTAAAGACTAACAGATAAATAATGAAATAAATTTGAAGTTGGATTTAGTAGTAAGAATTAAATAGTATATTAATCTGAAAACGGCTCTGAGGCGCGCACACACCGCCCGTCACTCTCCTCAATACTAACCTTACCTATTCATAATAAAATTTTACAACAAGAGGAGGCAAGTCGTAACATGGTAAGTGTACTGGAAAGTGCACTTGGAATCAAAATGTGGCTAAAAAGTACAGCATCTCCCTTACACAGAGGAAATACCCATGCAAATTGGGTCATTTTGACTTTATAGTTAACCCAATAAATAAATTTTATATAAAAAACAAAATAAATAAAAATATAATAACCAAAACATTTGCCATTCTTAGTATAGGTGATAGAAAAGAAAATTGGAGTGATAAATCTAGTACCGCAAGGGAAAACTGAAATAGTAATGAAAAAATTAATAAATGTAATAAAAAGCAAAGATTACACCTTGTACCTTTTGCATCATGGTCTAGCCAGTCAAATCAGACAAAGTGAACTTAAGCCTGCCTCCCCGAAACTAGACGAGCTACTCCGAGACAGCAAACTCGTGCCAACCCTTCTCTGTAGCAAAAGAGTGGGAAGATTTCTGAGTAGAGGTGATAAACCTACCGAGCCTAGTGATAGCTGGTTAGTCAGGAAAAGAATTTTAGTTCTACATTAATTTCTCTTCAATTATTTTTAAACCATTAACACAAAATACAAGAAGAAATTAATAGTTATTCAAAAGAGGTACAACTCTTTTTGAAAAAAAGGACACCAACCTTAATAAAAGCTGGATAAAAGGATTATATTTAACTAAGGAATTTATTCATGTGGGCCTAGAAAGCAGCCATCTTAATAGAAAGCGTTATAGCTCTAATAAATCTCAAACCCTATTATAAAAATAATAATCCTTAATCCCCTCTTAATACTGACTTATTTTATTTTATAAAAGAATTTATGCTAGAATGAGTAACAAGAAAAAGATTTTCTCCTACTTACCCGTGTAAGTCAGAAAGAACAAATCACTGATAATTAACGAACCCAAACTGAGGGTATTACCTACCCACAAGACAAACAAGAAAAACAAGTAATCTTATATCGTTATTCCTACACAGGTGTAAACAAGGAAAGATTAAAAAAGAAGGAAGGAACTCGGCAAACACAAATTCCGCCTGTTTACCAAAAACATCGCCTCCTGAATATTATAGGAGGTCACGCCTGCCCTGTGACATTAGTTCAACGGCCGCGGTATCCTGACCGTGCGAAGGTAGCGTAATCACTTGTCTTTTAAATGAAGACCTGTATGAAAGGCATCACGAGATTTTACCTGTCTCCCTTCTTCAATCAATGAAATTGATCTATCCGTGCAGAAGCGGGTATAAAAACATAAGACGAGAAGACCCTATGGAGCTTAAAATGATATATCAATAAACATATTTATAACCCTCAGGGGATAAGCAATCAACTTAGCATGATAAAATTATTTTTGGTTGGGGCAACCACGGAGAATAAAATAGCCTCCGTATCGATTGGGTAAAATTTTACCTAAAAACTAGAATTACGATTCTATTTAATAAAATATTTAACGAACCAATGACCCAGAAACTTCTGATCAATGAACCAAGTTACCCTAGGGATAACAGCGCAATCCTTTTCCAGAGTCCATATCGACGAAAGGGTTTACGACCTCGATGTTGGATCAGGACATCCTAATGGTGCAGCTGCTATTAAGGGTTCGTTTGTTCAACGATTAATAGTCCTACGTGATCTGAGTTCAGACCGGAGAAATCCAGGTCAGTTTCTATCTATGTAGTCGTTTCTCCTAGTACGAAAGGACCGGAGAAACAGAGCCTCTGTTATTAACATGCTCTATCTCAACCCTCTGCTATCCACTAAAAAGGATAAAGAGAGGCCCCAACAACCCTAAAATAGGGTATTATTAAGGTGGCAGAGCCAGGTAATTGCAAAAGCCCTAAATCCTTTATATCAGAGGTTCAAATCCTCTCCTTAATAATGTTACCTCTAATTAATACACTTATAATCATTATTCCTGTTTTACTAGCTGTTGCTTTCCTAACACTAGTTGAACGAAAGGTATTAGGTTATATGCAATATCGAAAAGGCCCTAATGTAGTTGGCCCATATGGCCTTCTTCAACCATTAGCTGATGGCCTAAAACTTTTTATTAAAGAGCCAGTCCGACCCTCAACTTCTTCATCATTTTTATTTATATTAGCTCCAACTATAGCCTTAACTCTAGCCTTAATTATATGAATACCCTTACCTCTACCTTATTCTCTTCTTGATCTTAACTTAACAATTTTATTTATATTATCTATCTCAAGTCTTACAGTATATTCTATTTTAGCATCAGGTTGAGCTTCTAATTCCAAATATGCCCTAATAGGAGCTTTACGAGCAGTTGCTCAAACTATTTCATATGAAGTCAGTCTTGGTTTAATTCTTCTATGTCTAATTATTCTCACTGGAGGGTATTCCCTCTCCTCTTTTAATATTACACAAGAAAATATCTGACTTCTTATCCCAGAATGACCTCTAGCTGCAATATGATATATTTCAACCCTAGCAGAAACTAATCGGGCTCCCTTTGATCTCACTGAAGGTGAATCAGAATTAGTCTCTGGTTTTAATGTCGAATATGCAGGCGGTCCATTTGCTCTTCTCTTCCTAGCAGAATATGCTAATATTCTTATAATAAATACCCTTTCTGCTATTCTATTCATAGGAGCATTACACAATCCTTTAATACCTGAACTTACTACAATTAATCTCATATTAAAAACAACTATCCTATCTTTAATTTTTCTTTGAGTACGAGCAACCTACCCCCGTTTTCGCTATGACCAACTTATACATCTTATCTGAAAAAACTTCTTACCATTATCATTAGCTCTTATCCTATGACACGTATCAATTCCTATTTCCCTAGCAAGTATCCCACCATTCATATAGTATAAGGAAATATGCCTGAATCATAGGATTACTTTGATAGAGTAAAAAATAGAGGTTAAAGTCCTCTCATTTCCTTAGAAAAATAGGACTTGAACCTATATAAAAGAGATCAAAACTCTTTATGTTTCCTTTACATTATATTCTAGTAAAGTCAGCTAATTAAGCTTTTGGGCCCATACCCCAAACATGTTGGTTAAAATCCTTCCTATACTAATGAATCCACTAACATTATCAATTTTTATTATAAGCCTAGGACTTGGTACAACAATTACTTTCTCTAGCTCACATTGATTACTTGCTTGAATAGGTTTAGAAATTAATACCCTTGCTATCACACCCCTTATAATTAAACAGCAACATCCCCGTGCTGTAGAAGCAACTACAAAATATTTTCTCACTCAAGCAGCTGCCTCTGCATTACTCCTATTTGCAAGTATAACTAATGCTTGAATAACCGGTCAATGAAGTATCTTAGAGATAGAAAATATAACTGCAATCACATTAATTACCTTAGCTCTCGCCCTAAAATTAGGTGTCGCCCCAATACACTTTTGACTTCCAGAAGTCCTTCAAGGACTTGATTTAAAAACAGGATTAATTTTATCTACTTGACAAAAACTCGCTCCATTTATTATTCTAATTCAAATAGCCCCTGCACTTAATCCTAATATCATAATCTCCTTAGCTATTATCTCTACACTGATTGGGGGTTGAGGAGGACTTAATCAGACTCAACTACGAAAAATCCTAGCCTACTCTTCAATTGCTCATCTAGGATGAATAATCATTATCCTTCATTATTCTCCTAATATCGCTATACTCAATCTAGTATTATATTTAGTTATTACTTCAACTATCTTCTTACTTTTTAATTTAACTAACTCTACAACAATTAATTCTATCTCCATAACTACAACAAAAAACCCCATTATTTCTATTCTTATTATAATAACACTATTATCCTTAGGAGGTTTACCTCCATTAACCGGATTTATACCAAAATGATTAATTCTTCAAGAACTCGCTTATCAAGAATTATTCTTAGTAGCTACAATCATAGCAATAACAACTCTACTAAGCTTATTCTTCTATCTTCGTCTTACCTATTCAACTACTTTAACTATAACTCCTAATTCAATAAATATAATATCTTCATGACTAACAAAAAAGAATCTAAAACCAATTATTCCATTACTTTTTCCTTTAACAACAATACTTCTCCCACTAACCCCTATATTATATTTCTCTTTACAATAGAAATTTAAGTTAACTAAACTAAAAGCCTTCAAAGCTTTAAATAGAAGTTAAAATCTTCTAATTTCTGCTTAAGATTTATAGGACTTTATCCTATATATTCTGAATGCAACCCAGATACTTTAATTAAGTTAAAACCTCTCTAGGTGAGTAAGCATCGATCTTACAAACTCTTAGTTAACAGCTAAGTATTCAAACCACCGAACATCCACCTAGGTCCTTCCTCCCGCCTTTCTAGGCGGGTAGAGGCGGGAGGAAGCCCCGGAAGGTCCTCTCTTCATTTCCGGAGTTGCAATCCGATGTGAATTTCACTACAAGGCTTGATAAGAAGAGGAACTACCCTCTGTAAACGGATTTACAATCCGCCACTTAAACTCAGCCATCTTACCTGTGACCATTAATCGTTGACTTTTTTCTACAAATCATAAAGATATTGGCACCCTCTATTTACTTTTTGGTGCCTGGGCAGGAATAGTTGGTACTGCCCTTAGCCTATTAATTCGAGCTGAACTAAGTCAGCCTGGAGCATTAATAGGTGATGACCAAATCTATAATGTTATTGTTACTGCACATGCCTTTGTAATAATTTTCTTTATAGTTATACCTATTATAATCGGAGGTTTTGGAAACTGATTAATCCCTTTAATAATTGGTGCACCTGATATAGCTTTCCCACGAATAAATAATATAAGTTTCTGATTATTACCTCCTTCCTTTCTTCTTCTTTTAGCCTCTGCAGGAGTTGAAGCTGGAGCAGGAACAGGTTGAACTGTCTATCCACCACTAGCTGGTAACCTTGCACATGCCGGAGCATCCGTAGATTTAACTATCTTCTCCTTACATTTAGCAGGTATCTCATCTATCTTAGCTTCTATTAATTTTATTACAACAATTATTAACATAAAACCTCCATCTATCACGCAATATCAAACACCTTTATTTGTATGATCAATCCTTATTACTACAATTCTTCTTCTACTTTCCCTACCTGTCCTAGCTGCAGGTATCACTATACTACTTACTGATCGTAATCTTAATACAACATTCTTTGATCCGGCTGGAGGAGGAGATCCTATTTTATACCAACACTTATTCTGATTTTTCGGCCATCCTGAAGTTTATATTTTAATCCTACCTGGTTTCGGTATAATCTCTCATGTAGTCACATACTACTCAGGTAAAAAAGAACCCTTTGGTTATATAGGTATAGTATGAGCTATAATAGCAATCGGACTTCTAGGTTTTATTGTTTGAGCTCATCATATATTTACTGTCGGTATAGATGTTGATACGCGAGCCTATTTCACTTCTGCTACTATAATTATTGCTATCCCTACAGGTGTCAAAGTTTTCAGCTGATTAGCCACACTTCATGGTGGAAATATCAAATGAGATACCCCTATATTATGAGCTCTTGGTTTTATTTTCCTATTTACAGTAGGCGGACTTACAGGAATTGTCTTAGCTAATTCTTCTTTAGATATCGTTCTTCATGATACCTACTATGTAGTTGCTCATTTTCATTATGTTCTCTCCATAGGAGCTGTATTCGCTATTATAGCTGGCCTTGTACACTGATTTCCATTATTTACAGGCTATACACTTCATGAAACTTGAACTAAAATTCATTTTGGTCTTATATTTATTGGAGTAAACTTAACATTTTTCCCTCAACACTTTTTAGGTTTAGCTGGTATACCACGACGATATTCTGATTACCCTGATGCTTATACCTTATGAAACTCAGTATCATCTATTGGCTCTCTAATATCTTTACTTGCCGTTATTCTATTCTTATTTATTCTTTGAGAAGCCTTTGCTTCTAAACGAACTCTATCTCATGTTATAATATCTTCTACTAATAATGAATGACTTCACGGATGCCCTCCACCTCATCATACATTTGAAGAACCTGCTTTCGTTCAAATTCAAGTAAACAAGAAAGGAAGGAATTGAACCCCCATATTTTAGTTTCAAGCTAAAAACATATACCACTCTGCCACTTTCTTAATTTATAAAGTACTAGTAAATACATTACATTATTTTGTCAAGATAAAATTATGAGTTAAAATCTCATGTACTTTAYAATGGCACACCCCTCCCAATTAGGATTTCAAGATGCAGCATCTCCAGTAATAGAAGAACTCTTACATTTTCATGACCATACCCTAATAATYGTCTTTTTAATTAGCACACTCGTACYTTATATTATTRCAGTTATGGTTTCAACTAAACTTACAAATAAATTTATTTTAGACTCTCAAGGAATTGAAATTGTTTGAACAATTTTACCTGCTATTATTTTAATCTCRATTGCCTTACCCTCATTACGTATTTTATATTTAATAGAYGARATTATTAATCCCCACTTAACAATCAAAGCTGTCGGYCATCAATGATACTGAAGCTACGAATATACTGATTACGAAAATCTAGAATTTGATTCTTATATAATTCAAACACAAGACCTCTCTCCTGGTCAATTCCGYCTTCTAGAAACRGATCATCGTATAGTAATCCCAATAGAATCTCCAATTCGAATTCTAGTCTCAGCAGATGATGTTCTACACTCCTGRACAGTACCAGCCYTRGGTGTTAAAATAGACGCTGTTCCTGGTCGCCTTAATCAAACTGCCTTCCTTGTAACTCGACCYGGGGTATTCTATGGACAATGTTCAGAAATCTGTGGTGCCAATCACAGTTTTATACCTATTGTAGTTGAAGCAGTACCCTTACAGCACTTTGAAAACTGATCTCTATTAACATTAGAAGAAAACTCATCAAGAAGCTAAAAGATGTTAGCGTTAGCCTTTTAAGCTAAAAATTGGTGCTTCCAACCACCCTTAATGAATGCCACAACTTAATCCTCACCCATGATTTATAATCTTTTTATTTACATGAATTATTTTCTTAACTATTTTACCCAATAAAATTTATAAACATGTCTATACTAATAAACCCTCCATTAATATTACATTACCTAAACTAAATAATTGAAATTGACCATGAATCTAAGCTTTTTTGATCAATTTATAAGTCCAATCCTAATAAATATTCCACTTTTAGCCTTAGCCTTAACTTTACCATGACTTATCTACCCTTCCCTAACTAATCGATGATTAAACAATCGACTTATCACACTACAAACTTGATTTATTAGTTTATTTCTTAATCAACTCCTTTCTCCTATCAACAAAAAAGTTCATAAATGAGCAATAATATTCTGTTCTTTATTACTTCTATTAATTACCTTAAACCTACTAGGCTTATTACCTTACACCTTTACACCAACAACTCAACTATCAATAAATTTAGGTTTAGCTACTCCTCTATGACTAGCTACTGTTCTAGTAGGTTTAATTAATCAACCAACTATAGCTCTTGGTCATCTACTTCCAGAAGGAACACCAACACCCTTAATCCCTATACTAATTATCATCGAAACTATTAGTCTTATAATTCGTCCCGTAGCTTTAGCTGTTCGACTAACTGCTAATTTAACAGCTGGACATCTCTTAATACAACTTATTGCTACCGCAGCTTTTGTATTAATAAATTCAATACCTACAGTAGCTTTACTAACTTCATTAATTCTATTCCTTCTCACATTACTAGAAGTAGCTGTAGCAATAATTCAAGCTTATGTCTTTGTTCTTCTTCTAAGTTTATATCTACAAGAAAATACCTAATGACACACCAAGCACATGCATACCACATAGTAGACCAAAGTCCTTGACCTTTAACAGGGGCAATTGCTGCCCTACTAATGACCTCAGGTTTAGCTATCTGATTTCATTATAACTCTTTTATTCTACTCTCTATTGGATTTTTATTACTACTACTTACAATAATTCAATGATGACGAGATGTAATTCGAGAAAGTACTTTCCAAGGCCATCATTCACTACCTGTTCAAAAAGGATTACGATGAGGTATAATCCTATTTATTACCTCTGAAGTATTCTTCTTTTTAGGTTTCTTTTGAGCATTCTACCACTCTAGTTTAGCCCCAACTCCTGAATTAGGAAATTGTTGACCTCCAACAGGAATTTTACCACTTAATCCATTTGAAGTTCCCCTTCTTAATACAGCTATTCTACTAGCTTCAGGTGTTACTATCACATGAGCACACCATAGCCTAATAGAAGGCTCTCGAAAAGAAATAACACAAGCCCTTACTCTAACTGTAATCTTGGGTGTTTACTTTACTCTACTTCAAGCTATAGAATATTATGAAGCACCTTTTACAATTTCTGATGGTGTATATGGATCCACATTCTTTGTAGCTACTGGTTTCCACGGCTTACATGTGATTATTGGTACAACATTTCTTGCAGTTTGTTTAATACGACAAATTCAATTTCACTTTACTTCAATACATCATTTTGGTTTTGAAGCTGCTGCATGGTATTGACACTTTGTAGATGTTGTTTGACTTTTCCTTTATGTATCAATCTATTGATGAGGCTCATAAATCTTTCTAGTATAAATTTTACAAATGACTTCCAATCATTTAATCTTGGTTTAAATCCAAGGAAAGATAATGAATTTAATCATTTTAATTTTTATTATTTGTTTTACACTATCTTTAATTCTAGCTACCATTGCTTTCTGAGTTCCTCAGTTTAAACCTAACACTGAAAAACTCTCGCCATATGAGTGTGGTTTTGACCCACTGGGCTCTGCCCGACTACCTTTTTCATTACGCTTCTTTTTAGTAGCAATTCTTTTCTTACTATTCGATCTTGAAATTGCTCTCCTACTTCCTCTCCCTTGAAGTAATCAACTATCTTCCCCTACATTAACTCTAGCTGCATCTCTTTTTATTATTATTTTACTTACTTTAGGTTTAATCTATGAATGAATACAAGGAGGATTAGAATGAGCAGAATAGATGTTTAATCTAAATAAGAATATTGATTTCGACTCAATAAATCGTGATGAAAATCCACGAACATCTTATGACACCTATACATTTTACATTTACCTCCGCCTTTATTCTAAGTTTACTTGGTCTTACAATTCATCGTACCAGTCTTCTCTCAGCACTCCTTTGTCTAGAAGGTATAATACTTACTTTATATATTGCCTTAACTTTATGATCAGTTGAAAATAGTTCATCCGCATATTTAATAAGTCCGTTAATCTTATTAGCATTTTCAGCATGTGAAGCATGCACAGGTCTTAGTCTCTTAATCGCTACTACCCGCACTCACGGTAATAATCATCTTCAAAATCTAAATTTATTACAATGTTAAAAATCTTAATTCCGACTCTAATATTAATAATCACTTCATCATTATCACCTAAAAAATGACTATGAATTACAACAACCTCCTATGCTTTTATTATTGCAACTATTTCATTAATTTGATTCAAATGAGATAATGAGACAGGATGATCATTTACTAACGGATTTATAGGAGTAGACCCTTTATCATCTCCATTAATAATCTTAACATGTTGACTTCTACCATTAATACTATTAGCCAGCCAAAATCATTTAAAAACTGAACCTATTAATCGTCAACGAATCTATATTATTATACTAATTACTCTTCAAGTATCCTTAATTATAGCATTTAGTTCTATAGAAATAATTATATTTTATATTATATTTGAAACCACTCTTATTCCAACTCTAATTTTAATTACTCGTTGGGGAAACCAAAAAGAACGCCTGAATGCAGGTATCTATTTCCTATTTTACACCCTAGCTGGCTCTCTACCTCTATTAATTGCCCTTCTTACTATACAAAATTATATACATTCTTTATCACTAATAATTATCCCCTTTTCCCCAAATCAAATAAACAACTGAGCCAATATTTTATGATGAACAGCATGCCTTATTGCTTTTTTAGTTAAAATACCCTTATACGGAGTACATCTTTGATTACCTAAAGCACATGTAGAAGCCCCAATCGCTGGATCTATAATCCTAGCAGCTATCCTACTAAAGCTTGGAGGTTATGGTATAATACGAATTATTATTACCCTTAATCCCTTAACCAAAGATTACTCATACCCCTTTATTATCCTCGCCATTTGAGGCGTCGTAATAGCGGGTTCAATTTGTCTCCGCCAAACAGACCTGAAATCCCTAATTGCCTATTCCTCAGTAAGTCATATAGGTCTAGTTACTGCAGCCATTCTTATTCAAACTCCATGAAGTTTTATAGGAGCTATAGTACTTATAATCTCCCATGGACTTATTTCATCTGCCTTATTCTGTTTAGCTAATACTAACTATGAACGAATTCATAGCCGAACTCTTCTATTAGCACGAGGTACTCAAACAATTTTACCTTTAATAGCATCCTGATGATTCTTAACCAACCTAGCTAATCTAGCTCTACCACCTTCTACTAATTTATTAGGGGAGTTAATAATCATTACATCCTTATTCTCTTGATCTATATGAACATTAATCTTAACAGGATTTGGTACATTAATCACAGTCTGCTATTCACTTTACTTATTTCTTATAACACAACGAAGTATTACTCCATCTCATTTAACTATTATTACCCCTTCTCATACACGAGAACATTTAATAATTAGTCTTCATTTAATTCCAGCTCTTTTATTAATTCTCTCTCCTAACCTAATCTTAAGCTGAACATAACAGATATAGTTTAACCAAAACAATAAATTGTGGTTTTATAAATAAAAGTTAAAATCTTTTTACCTGTCGAGCAAGACTTGGAAGTGTAAAGAACTGCTAATTCTTAAACCCATAGTTCAATTCTATGGCTTACTTAATTTCTAAAAGATAATAGTCATCTATTGGTCTTAGGAACCAAAAACTCTTGGTGCAATCCCAAGTAGAAGTAATGAATAATATTTTTAATTCTACTTACTTTATTATATTACTATTACTTTTTTATCCATTAATTATACCTATCTCCCAAAAATCTTTTGATAAAAATCTAGAAAATCATGTTAAATTAGCTATTAAATTAAGCTTTTTTATTAGCCTTATTCCTCTTATAATCTTCATTGACCAAGGAGTTCAAACTATTATCACTAATATTTCATGAATTAATCTTCCTTCTTTTAATATTAACCTAAGCTTTAAATTTGATATATACTCTATTATATTTACATCTGTAGCTCTTTACGTTACATGATCCATTCTTGAATTTACATCATGGTATATATCCTCTGACCCAAATATTAATCGTTTCTTTAAATATCTTCTTTTATTCCTTATCACAATAATTATTTTAGTTACAGCTAATAACATACTCCAACTCTTTATTGGCTGAGAAGGTGTTGGAATTATATCGTTTTTATTAATTGGCTGATGATATGGACGAGCTGATGCCAATACTGCTGCATTACAAGCTGTAATCTATAATCGAGTAGGAGATATTGGTCTTATTCTTAGTATAATCTGATTAGCCACAAACTTAAACTCATGAGAAATCAGCCAAATTATAATTTTATCAAAAGAAATTGATATAACAATTCCTCTTTTAGGTTTAATTCTAGCTGCAATAGGTAAATCCGCTCAATTTGGACTTCATCCATGGCTCCCCTCAGCCATGGAGGGTCCCACACCGGTATCTGCCCTACTTCATTCTAGTACTATAGTCGTAGCTGGTATTTTTCTTCTCATCCGTCTTCACCCTTTATTTAATAATAATAAAGAAATCTTAACTATCTGCTTATGTTTAGGGGCATTAACTACTTTATTTACTGCTATTTGTGCTTTAACTCAAAATGATATCAAAAAAATTATTGCCTTTTCCACTTCTAGTCAACTAGGATTAATAATAGTCACAATTGGTTTAAATCAACCTTACCTAGCTTTCCTTCATATTTGTACTCATGCCTTCTTTAAAGCTATATTATTTCTCTGCTCTGGTTCAATTATTCATGCCCTTAATAATGAACAAGATATCCGTAAAATAGGTGGCCTAAATAATATTTTACCTTTTACTTCTTCTTGTATAATATTAGGAAGTTTAGCCTTAACCGGTATACCTTTTCTTGCTGGATTTTTCTCTAAAGATGCCATTATCGAATCTCTTAACACTTCTTATTTAAACGCCTGAGCCCTACTCCTTACTTTAATCGCAACATCATTTACTGCTGTTTATAGCCTACGATTAATTACCTTTACTATAATCAATTACCCCCGATATCCTTCAATCTCACCTATAAATGAAAATTATAAACACTTAAAAAATCCTATCAAACGCTTAGCCTATGGTAGCATCATAGCTGGTTTCATTATTACTTCTAATATTCCACATAATAAAACTCTTATCATAACTATACCACTAACTATAAAACTCCTAGCAATCATTGTTACTATTATTGGACTTATACTAGCATTAGAACTAGCTAATTTAACAACTAAACAACTTAAAATTTTACCCAATATAAATACATATAACTTTTCTAATATACTAGGTTACTTTCCACCTATCATCCATCGCTTATTCCCAAAAATTAATTTAAAATGAGGACAAACCATTGCAACTCATATAATAGATCTCTCCTGATATGAAAAAACAGGACCTATAATAATAAAATCAAATCAAAAAACTATTAAAATTCTTCATACATCCCAAAAAGGCATAATTAAAACTTACTTAACTCTATCACTTATTTCTATAATTATTATCCTATTATTTTATTCAAATTAAACTACCCGTAATGCTCCTCGACCTAATCCCCGAATTAATTCAAGTACCACAAAAAGAGTTAAAAGAAGAACTCATCCAGCTAAAAATAATAACATAATACCATCAGAATATATTAAAGATGTACCACTTAAATCTCCTCGTCATAAACTAAAATTATTCAATTCATCTACTCCTATTCAATGCATTATATTCCATTCTCCAAAAAAATAATAAACTCCTACCCCAACTCCCAATAAATATATCATCACATTAACCAAAACTGGTCAATCTAACCAACTTTCTGGATAAGGTTCAGCAGTCAATGCTGCAGAATAAACAAAAACAACTAATATTCCCCCTAAATAAATTAAAAATAAAACAAAAGATAAAAAAGAAGTACCATGACTAGCTAATAAACCACAACCAATAGCAGCTGATATCACTAATCCAAAAGCAGCAAAATAAGGAGATGGATTTGAAGCTACCCCCACTAATCCAATAATAAAACATATAAGTATTAATATTACAAAATAAATCATTATTTTTATCTGGACTCTAACCAGAACCAATGACCCCTGAAATCACCGTTGTTATTCAACTACAAAAACTAAATGACCCAAAATCTGCGAAAAACACACCCCATTTTAAAAGCTATTAATCATATATTAATTGATCTCCCTGCTCCAACTAATATTTCTGCATGATGAAATTTTGGATCCTTATTAGCTCTTTGTTTAGCTATACAAATTGTAACTGGCCTATTTTTAGCCATGCATTACACTGCAGATATTTCAACTGCCTTTTCCTCAGTAATCCATATTTGTCGAGATGTAAATTATGGTTGACTTATGCGCAACGTACATGCGAATGGAGCCTCCCTATTTTTCATTTGTTTATATCTTCATGTAGGTCGTGGTATTTATTATGGATCCTATCTATTTAAAGAATTATGAAACGTTGGTGTTATCTTATTTATTCTTGTAATAATAACAGCATTTGTAGGTTATGTATTACCATGAGGTCAAATATCCTTCTGAGGTGCCACTGTAATTACTAATCTCTTATCAGCTATTCCATTTATTGGTAATATATTAGTTCAATGAATTTGAGGTGGTTTCTCAGTAGATAATGCTACATTAACACGATTCTTTGCTTTTCACTTTATATTACCTTTTATTATTGCAGCGATAACCATTATCCATATTATTTTTCTTCATGAATCGGGTTCTAACAACCCCACCGGTCTCAACTCTAACACGGATAAAATTTCCTTCCACCCTTATTTCACATATAAAGACATACTAGGTTTTGCATTTATTATTTCTATCCTATTATCTATCGCTCTATTTTCTCCCAATCTACTTGGAGATCCAGAAAATTTTACTCCGGCAAATCCGCTAGTTACCCCTCCCCATATCAAACCAGAATGATATTTTTTATTTGCTTACACTATTCTCCGATCCATCCCCAACAAACTTGGCGGAGTTTTAGCCCTTATCTTTTCCCTACTTGTCCTCTTTCTTTTACCTTTACTACACACATCAAAACAACGAACAAATATATTTCGCCCTTTAACTCAAGTTATTTTCTGATTTATAGTTGCCAACATATTCATCTTAACCTGAATTGGAGGTCAACCCGTAGAAAATCCCTTTACACTAATCGGTCAAATTACCTCTATTATCTATTTTAGCTTGTTCCTTGTCGTTTTTCCCCTACTCGGTTTATTAGAAAATAAACTGCTTAATTAAAATTGTTATAGTAGCTTAATACAAAGCCCTGGTCTTGTAAACCAAAGACTGAAGGTTAAGACCCTTCCTAAAACATCAAAAAAGAAAGATTTGAACTTTCACCCTTGGTCCCCAAAACCAAGATTATCTTTAAACTATTTTCTGGTCTCTTCCCTACCAAAAAGCATGTTGATCACATACTATGCTTAATACTCATTAATTGACTATCTACATTGTCGCATTACTATGATTAGTCCGCATATCTATATTAGACTCATTTTCATTACACTAAAAACTTACCCCTCATTAATCTAAGTAGAACATTACCTTCACACTATTTTTATTGACCTCATAACAGCGGTATAAAATATTCATAACATATAGATTATTATATAACATTTACTCTACATTCCACATTTGACATCATCGCCCTGTTCTTTCTGCCTCTAGAAACATCAATTCTCATGATAATAAATTAATTGACTCACCCCTTATTTGCTTAACATAATACTATTAATTGAGCATACTACTCTCTATTTACTATCTAAGTATTACATTATCTATGAATTAGATAATTACCTATGAGGGCGGTAAGAAATAATCAACTTTGAATATATTCCCACGGTGTACGGTTTGTAGGACATTCCTGGTGTATCCCCTAATATTGCTTAAATGCTGGCATTTGATTAATGGTGTGAATACATTCACTACTTTGCCGCGTCAAGATTTACTCATAGGCGGTTGGTTTTTTTTTTAGGGGGGGATCTTGAAGCTATGTAACTAGTACGCTTCGCATCCGCTCTGCGATCAACAGGCAGAACACTATTTTTCTGATCGCGCATTCCTCGACATTTCATCTTTTTATAATAGTTTACTGGGGATTTCGACATTTATGAAACGAATAACACCTTTGCTAAGGCCGTTAAATTATTAAGGATGGAGAATACAAAATTGAGAGATAAAATTAATTTAAAGAATACATTCTTATACGTTATTAGTGAGATAAGGAGTTTCAATGAATGACTTCGTATGCAAAACACTACTAAATACTAATTTCACTTTGTCGGACATAAGGTGAGCCTAAAAAACCAACTTCTATATAAGTGCCCCGGGTGTCGGAGATCAGATATTTTTTTTTAAGAATTAATTGAGTCCTAACGAGAAGAATATTTTTCTGTTATTTTCTTGTGGGCCCTATGAAAGGAATAAATTTTATGACGAAACCCCCCCTACCCCCCGTAAAAGCTAATATTCAAGATTGTATCGAGAAACCCCAAAACCGAGAACCGAATACAGCTTTTTTTATAGCGAAATGAAAATGCGTGCTATACATTGTAACACATGTTGCAAAAAAAAA